GGAAAAGAACTTTAAAGTAGGAGTTACATTTTTTCTTTATTTTCCTCTACCTTCACTTCACATTCTTCACGTTCCTCACCTTGCTAAATGGATTGTTTCTCCTCTTCAGATTGGGGCATGAATATTGTAGTAATTGACTTCTGTAGGTTTTCTTTCACCTAATGATATGCATAGGAATCAGATTGATTACATATTTGTAAAGAACCACTGGAAAAGCTCACTATCAGCTGTGAAAACTAGGCCAGGTGATTGTGGAACAGACCACCAACTATACAAATGGAAGCTGAAGCTAAGAAAAATTAAATTGAATCCATGGGAACCAAAATATGACCTTGAGTCTATCCCACCTTAATTTCAGAACCATCTCAGGAACAGGTTTGAGGCCTTGAACACTAATGGGCGAAGACCAGATGAGTTGTGGGAGGATATCAAGAGTATCATCCAGAAAGAGTGCAAAAGTTCTTTACGAAGAAAGGAGGAAGAAAAGACCAACATGGATGTCAGAAGAGACTCTGAATTATTGCACTAGAGCACCGAGAAGCCAAAGCACAAGAAAAAATTCAGGATACAAAAAAGGAGAACAGAAGATTTCGAAAGGCAACACAGCAAGACAAAGTAAAGTATTACAATGAAATGTGCAAGGAGCTGGAGTCAGAAAATCAAAAGGACCAAACTTGCTCACCATTTCTAAAGCTCAAAGAACTGAAGAACAAATCCAATGCTTTGGGCAGAATATTAAATGATCCAGGTAGTATTAAAAGAAGATGGAACGAGTATACAGAGCCATAGTTCTGAAAGGAATTTGAAGACACAGAAGAATTTCATGAAACAACACATGAGCAAGAGCCTATGGTAATGAAGAAGGGAGTTCAAGCTGCTTTGAAGGAATTGGCCAAAAATAAGGCCCCAGAAATTGATGGCATATCATTTGACGTATTTCAACTAACAGATGCTGCCCTAGAGGCTCACCAAGTTGTGTCAAGAAATCTGGAGAGCAACCACTTGGCCAACTGATTGGAAGAGATCTATATTTATTTCCATTCCAAAGAAGGATGATCCAACAGTGTGGAAATTATTGAAAAGTATCATTAGTATCACATGCAAGCAAGATTCTGCTGAAGATTATCCAAAACCAACTGGAATAGCACATCAGCAGAGAACTGCCAGAAATGCAGGCTGAGTTTAGAAGGGGTCATGGTATTAGGGATATTGTAGCTAATGGTAGGTGGATCTTGGTTGAAAGCAGGGAGTACCAGAGGAATGTCTATCTGTGTTTCATTGATTATATGAAGGCTGTTTGTATGACTGTGTGGATCACAACAAACTGTGGCTGACTCTGAGAAGAATGGGAATCCCAGAACACTTGATTGTGCTAATGCAAAACCTATACTTGGAGCAGGAGGCAGTCATCAGAACAGAGCAAGGAAACACTGCATGGTTCAAAATTGGGAAGGGATATGCCAGGGGTGTGTCTTATCTCCATACTTTTTCAACCTTTATGCAGAACAGATTATGCTGAAGTCTGGGCTTTATGAGGAGAATTGTGGTATCAGAATTAGAAGAATATTCATCAACAATCTGTGTTATGCAGAGGACACAACCCTGCTTGCTGAAACTGAGAAGAACCTGAAGCCCTTGCAGCAGAAGATCAAGGAATGTAGCCTTCAATATGGATTGAGGCTCAATATCGAGAAGACAAAGATTCTCACCACTGGGCCAATTGGCAACATCATGATAAATGGTGAAGAGATTGACATTGCTAACAGCTTTAGTTTGTTCAGCTCCACAGTCAACACTTTGGCACCAACAGCCAGGAAATTAAAAGATGTATTATGATGGGGAAAGTCTGCTGTTATAGACCTCTCCAAAGTCCTGAAGAGTAATCATGTCACTGGAGATTAAAGTGTACCTGATACAATCCATGGTCTTTGCAATTACTTGCTATGCATCAGAGAGCTGGACGATGACTAGGAAGGATAGAAGGAGAATTGATGCTTCTGAGTTCTGGTGTTGGAGAAGAGTATTGAATATACAGTGGTTAGATATGACTGCTAAGAAAAAGAAAAGGTCCATCCTGGAGAAGGTTAAACTAGGATGCTCATTGGAGGCAAGGATTCTGAAGCCTCATCTGACATACTTTGGACATGTTGTTAGGAGGGACTAGTCCTTAGAGAAGGATGTCATGCTCGGATAGGTGGAAGGACAGTGCAGGAAAGGAAGACCCTCTATGTGGCTGATTGATTCAGTGACTGTGGTAATCAGGGTAGGTGTTTTGGAGACAGTGAGATTAGCACAGGACAGAGCAGGGTTTAGGGCTGTTGTATATCGGATTGCTATGAGTTCCAGGCTACTGGAGGCACATAACAACAACAGGTTTTAAAGAAGTTAGTATTTAGTATATTATGAAAAATCGTCACACTTCTATTAGGCTAATGTGGGGTTTTTTTGGTCTTTTTAAAAATGCTTTAATCATGTTATGACTATACTATTAAACACTGTGACACTGATGTGTCAAATGTGATAATCGTTATCCATGATGAACAGTGTTTGGTGGAGCTCCCCAATTAAAACAAGCTTGGAAACAGGAGTGGCATCCACTTTTGAAATATCTTGCCTCTGGAAACTCTATGAACTTGGAGAAACAATAAAAGTTATACAAGTGTTCAGATGTTTAGTTCACTGGGTTGCTATGAGTCGTCTACGACTTGATGGCTCTTAATAATAACAACATGACTATTTTATAGATATAAGGAAGGTCTGGTTGCCTAGCGGTAAGGAGCTGCACTGCCAATCCAAAAGCATGTGATTTAGATTCATGAGCTGCACCATATGAGAAAGGTGGACAATCCCTTCCCCTGCAATTTACTGCCTCAGAAAACCTGCTAGAGTGTCCTGTTTCCAAACTTTTTCAATCTATATGCAGAACAGATCATTTGGAAAGGTGCACTTTATGAAGAAGAATGTGGCATCAAGATTTGAGAATAAAGAAGAAAAAAAAAAAAAAGATTTGAGGAAGATCCTCAAGAACCTGTGTTATGCAGGTGACACAATCTTGCTTGCCGAAGTTGAAGAGGACAAGAAGCATTTACTACTTAAAGTCAAGGTCTGCAGCCTTCAATATGGATTGCATATCAGCATCGAGAAAACGAAGATTCTCAGCACGAGGCCAATTGGCAGCATCATGATCGGTGGAAAAGGGAATGAGGTTCATCTTACTTGGCGCCACAATCAGCACTCTTGCACCAGCAGTCAGAAAATCAAAAGATGAGTTGCAGTTGGGAGATCTGTGGTCAGGGACCTGTCCAGAATCCTAAACAGTAATTTTGTATGTCTAAATACTAAGGTATACCTTATCAAGGCCATGGTCTTCACAATTACTTGCTATATATCAGAGAGGTGGATAGTGACTAAATATTACAGAAGAAAAATCTGTGCCTTTGACTTGTGGTGTTGGAGAAGGGTATTGAACATTTTCCAACATCAATTGCTATATACAAAATCATTATCACTTAAGTTATTCTATTTTATTTCATAATTTGCTGGAAGTGACCGAAATGATACTTGACATGTTTCTCCACAGCAGTCATCTCATCAGTAAAGTATTATGATATGCTCACTAAAATAATTTTCACTTGACTTGGTAGAAAGTAACAATCTACATTTTTTTCTCTTTAGTTTCAGGGGCAGCATTATGTTTCTCAGAGTCTGGTAACCCTGGGAAGTTGCAGCATATTGAGAAAATCTCTTGTAGCTCTGCTTCTAGCTGAAGTAAACAGCTTCACTGACTATCTGGAAATCATCAGTCAGGTACTTATAATTGGGAACTAGAGCTCTCATTTATAGTTAATGCAACCAGACCTTTGTTCCTCTGTCTGCTCTCTGTTCTTACCAGACAGATCTTTCAGATATTACTTATCACTAACATGTGTGAATACCACTACTGCCTACTGAAATTACAGAAAGGTACCTGCAGAAGAAAATGGTTTTCAAAATGAGCCATCCCGTTGTCCTAGCTTGCATGCACATGCTGAGGGTGCCTTTGATGACAGCAGAGGAGAGCTAAGGTGGATGGCCTTAAACCTTATCAGACAGGCAGCATGTTGCAAAAGCAAAACAGTGCGAGAAAAGTGAACTGGATGTTAATCGAAGAATAACCTCTAGTCTAATGGCTCTCATCCTTTGCTGCTCATAAGAATAATTTGACTAACTTGAAGTATCACGTTGCCAGGCTGTACACCAGTCTAATTAGATGGTGTCTCTGGGGTGACACTCATAGACATTGGCATTTTTTTAAAACTCTCCCGGTGATTCCTATGTAGTCAAGGCTGAAAACTAATACTTTAAGTTTTTTTATTTGTGCTAAGACTTCATATGTCACAGCTGACAAACTCATCTGGGGAACTTGAGTCATTTTCATATTTGCATGTTTGTATTGGTTTATTAAATGTTAACTCTGTATGAGGTCGTTCATATTTTTACCATGTTTATGGTAGTACTAACAGAATTAAAGAAAAAAATATATATACATGTTTTAGAAAAAGAAAAATTATATATAATTTTTTGTAGCTTTTACACATGTTGTTGTTAGTTGCTGTTATGTGGACGCCACCTCCTGACAGCCTCATGTACGACAGAATGAAGCTGTGCTCAGCCTTGCACCATCATGAGTCTTTCTATGCTCAGTCCATGACTGTGGTTACTTATTTATTGAGTGTAGCAGAGTAAGGAGTGTGTTGCTCAGCCTACTAAAAGTCCTTGTGTCTTAGGAGGAAGCTGGACAGTCTTCTTCCATCAGCATTTGCCAATGTGGAAAGCCATTAGTGGGTTGCTGCAAGCTGGCATTGACTCCACAGTAGTGAGCTTCAGCTTGAGCTCCCACCTGAGCAGCTCATCTTCCAGCTCTCCCATAGACTCGGGTATTGTGAGCCTTACAGTTTTCATTAGCTGGTTTTCAGAAGTCATTCTCTAAGCCTCTCTGATCTATATGCCTTAGTGTGGAAGCTTCACGAAACGTGTCCATTATGATTGTGCTGCTAGTTTTAGAAATACCAGTGGCATAGCTTACAGCCACATAATAAAGCAAACTGACATACCTTGTTTTCATTAAACAATAGCCTACATCTGAATTTTCTTATTTTGACAGTATAATGTCCTTTGGGACTAATATCACCCACCAACAACATTTCCTGCTTCTCAGGTTTCCTGACAAATGTCTAATAAAATTATAGTATACGACAAGGACTTATATCCATCTGACCGAATGGGCTTAATGCCACCAGAGTCTGCCTGGTACCTGTGTGGCTCATATAGTTATGTCAAAATCTTCCATATAATTATGTGAGAATCTTTATTAAATAAAAAAAGTTTCTCCTTCATTGCAGCATCCCTTCTATTACTGAAAAATGCATGGCATAAAAAATGCAAAGTACAAAATAATTAGGTCTAAAAGGATTCATAATACAATTTAAGAATATTCATAACATAATCTAATTTAGTATATGACATAGTATATAACATAGTCAAGCCTCAATATTTCAAGTTGCTACTAAATGCTAAGTGCTCTTTAAGAGCTCTGTTAAAAACCATTACTGTAGAATGAGTATAAGGATCCAAGAGGGATGGGAGAGGGTGGAAGCAGAGGGATGTGGATGTGCGTGGGGATGGGGGTGTGGGGGAGTAATTATCAGATTGTACAATTTGATAGGTAGGGGGGTGAGGGAAATGGAAAGAATTTGTTCTAATTTGTATTTGAATTTTGTAAATAAACTAGTAAGGGAGGGGGGGAAGAGCTCTATTAAGTTAAATTTTAAAAAAACCACCACAAAACAGAAAAATCACTACTAGCACTCTTCATATGGAGCTAAAAATTCATATGGAAAGAGAAATAATGGCACTAAGTAGTTGAATAAGAATGAAAGCAACAAATTGCATGGTACAGATTATAGGAGTTCTAATAGTAAAGAAAGTGACAAGGTCAGGGTAAAAGGCATTGAAAAAATTCATGGAAGAGAAACAATTTGAATTCAAATTGAAAATAAAGTGGAAACAGAATGTGGAGACACTGTGGTATTATTTGGCCATATGTAGCCCAGGCCTTTGAGAACACAAAGAGAAGCCTTGACATTTAAAAAGAAGCAGCAATGTGGGAAATGAGGTTGATGATATTAGTTGATTTGTTTGGAGAATAATACAGAAGTAAGCATTTTCATTTACATATTTCCATTTATGTTTAATAATCACTCCATAATGCATGTACTTTCTCTTAACTTTACAAATAAAAACCAAATATTAGAGTGGTTAAACATCTTGATTAAGATTACAGAAAGAGCACATACAAAAGCCAAAATTGAAACTGAGGGTTTGTTTTTTTTCTCTTGTATAACAGTAAAATAATAATAATAGTTATAATAACTACTAGTAGTAGTTGATGTGTACTGTCGAGTCGAGAAACTGATACCTAGCTCACTCCACAGCAGATTTTAAGTTGTTGTTGTTGTTGTTGTTATGTGCCGTCAAGTCGCTTGTGACTCATAGCGACCCTATGTACAACAGCCC